TGTCCTCGCTGCCAGCGGCTGGCAGACCGGAGAGAGAGGATGGCACGCAAAAACATGGAGGAGCAAGAAGATGAGGGAGGCGGGCCTTAAAGCTGGCAACAGGGGAACCTCAGAGAAAGAGGAGGAGGAGAAGCACAACACGACGATGATTGTAGTGGCTGACCATCTCTCGTTCAGTTCCAGCCTTTGTAACCCGGGGAGACGGCCTTCGCAAACAGCTGATTGCCTCACATGCAGGTTTTACTACATCAGGGCAGCCGCATCACTCAGAAAGAGGACCAAGGCTGGTGTTGATTTTTCCTATGAATCTCTTTTAGACATGCACTTTACTCTAAGAATGCGTCCTGCTAGAATGGTAGTGATTTTTAGAAATCAGCTCCCTGATTTGGCAATTGGATTAGATTTGTCTGTCCTTTGCTGATGACTTTATTTAAATTTCCTTGTAAATATGAACTGAATATTCTTGCCAGCATCTCCGTATGGTAGTGCTTCTGTTGCTCCAAAGGGAGTTTTACAATAGGGCACCTTTCTTGCTTCAGCTGTGCTGAATCATTCCTGAATTAATAAAATCGCTCCGTGTGTGTGAATGAGAAAACGTGCTGCCTTACACAGATGTTTGATGCTCTCATGTTGTAGTTTCATGTGTGAAAACAGCCAAAGATTCTCGACCTGTCAGAAAGTCCCCATTTTTCTCTTTTAAATCTTTAAATTGGGATTGCAAAAGGAATGAAGAGCTGATCAGTTTCCCAGTTAAGACGGTGTATTTAAATAACCGAGGAGTGCTCTCTTCCTCGCTCCTTACTGTCCCGTTTTTAGCTATTTTACACACATTTGTGTGGCTCTTGGACAAAGCTGCATTCAAAAACACTGGACGTTAGAGGAGGTGTTTCAAATCAGCATTGAGTATTTTTTAAAAAAATAAAATAAAAATTGTGCTGCTGCTGCTTTGTGTGCATTTGGTTACTGGAGAGAGGTGTGTTGTGAGTGTGGGTGCTTGTGTTGATTTGCGCACACGTCTACCTGCTGTGCGTGTAGCCCAACTGGCACACGGCTGCTCGTTGTAGGTTTTGGAATATTGGAGAAGGTTTGGTTAATTGCACTGATCCCATGTTTTTGTTGGAGGGGCCGAGGGTGGGACATCACTCTTTGAGTTTTTAGATGTGTGTCAGGAACATGAACCCTGATCTTGAACGGTCTTAAAAGTTCCTGCCGGTTGAGTTTCTCAACATTGTGAAGATATAGAAGGTAGAAGAGACCATTAGACCATTATCACTTCTTGGGCTAAATTTTATGTTTTTTCTTCCAGCAGTTTGAAAGTGTAAACACGACGGTTCACTGTTTGAACACAGAGTTGTGTGTGAAACCAATTTTTTCCAATGGGACTGTTTAAACTGACCGTAACGGGCTGTAGGTTCTGACCACGTATGAGAGTGCTGTGATCACCCGTAGCAGATGAGTAATTTCAGTAGTTGAACCAAAAAATATCTTTACAACTCTGATCGTTTTATTTTGATGACTTTTTTGCAAACCCAGTATTGCACAGAGGAATAGAAATGTCTGATTATTGGCTCTGTTTGGAGCTGAATTGATCACATTTGAAGTCCTGAAGTCCTTTGATAGACTAGATAAAACTCCAGTGTATGTATCCCATCTGTAGATTTGAGTTGTTGAGGTTTTGGGCACATAAGGATAAAATATCTTTATTTAAAACTGCCAGAGAGACTGATTTTTGAATTTTGAGATGCTTTTTAGAAGAAACGCTGAACAAAGTGACTGCGCAGCTCTACTGACAAACCTCCATTTAGATGATTATTAGTATTGGTTTTGTTGCCTTTAACATGGACGAGCGAAGGAGCCTTACAGTGCACTACAGATCCAAATGTATGCTATTAAATAAGTTAATTATTATGATTAATATTGTGTGTTCATTTGCTTTGGTTCTGTAATCATGTTAATAATAAATGACTGGCTAGACTGTTAATAAGTGTCATTCTTCACTTGAAGAACTTTTCTTGGTTAATAAAACGGAAGTCTTGGAAGTTTCTGCTGTGTATGTTCATAATTAGTATTTAATACATCAGTTTTTGTTTGCTTGTTTTATTTTTGTGTGATTGCAAAACTACAGGCTGGCGCCCCCTGGTGGGCCATGAAGGTACTTCAGATCGACTATAGGAGATCATTAACAATAACCCATTTTGAACATTTCCTTCATACATGTAATTTGTATGCAGTTTAAATAAAAGAGAATGTATAATTTTTAATGTTGCACTTCTGAACCTTTAATATGCCATAATCCTATTTATATGGTGAATCAAACGATTATCATTTTGGTTTCTATAAGAGTCTATAGGAAAACATCATTGGAAATCTGATAGATTTTTCTGTTTAAAAACTCTGATTATGATAATTTTGGAGTGCTTCCATGCAAAAGAAACTGAACTAATAAAATAAAGCCAAGTTATTTTAAAAATGAATAAATAATCAGTAAAAATTAATCGCTGTTGTTTTGTTTTGTTTTGTTTTTTGGGGGGGCTACTTTCATTTTTGATATACTATTGTCTATTGATCTAATTTAAAAATAAAAAATAAAAGAAAAATAAAAGAATTTGCAAAAGTGAAGCTGTTAATGAAGAATCAAGTCATCAGAACATCAAAATGAATGAAAACCCAGCTGAAAGTCTTCATGTTCTGCTGGTGTGGTGATTGGAAATGATTGCCTTAGGTGATATCCGGTCACACTGATGAATGCATTTGGAGCAAATTTGGGGTTCAATACTGAAGTGGTTTGCAAATCAAACCTGATTGGTGGACAGCCTGCTCTAACTCTTGAACTAGAGCTGCCCAAGCTTACATTACCCAGTGGTCTCCCATACAGGTACTAATCAGGCCCGGCCCAACCCAACATCTGGAGTGCTCGAGGTGGCGGCATAACCTCAAACTGAAGCAGCTTTAATTGTCATAAAATATAATTTTTGGTTACTCTGTTTAGATGCCAAGCTGTTTAAGTAGCAGAGCTGAGACCATCGCTTACATTTCATTGTCACAGAAGCTGATGTCTCACGTATTTATTTTCTTTGTCACAAATTGCTGTTTATGATTATGCAGGTAAACCACAACCCTTGAAATTGAAAAACAATACAATAATAGTCGTAATAGTTTTTAATTGCTAATGAATATTAAAGACAAGTACAACTTCTATTAATGGCATTAGAGTCTAAATGGCCTGTAAGTTTATGAATGTGTACCTCTTTCATTATTTTTCTCTGGCTACTGATATGTTAAAAACAAAAAAAAGCTCCAGTAAATAGTGTTAGGATACAGTAAACCACAGTCATGTTTGACTGTAAAATGCAGAGTTTGCCAAAGCCAGCTACCTTACAGACAAATGCTCATTAACTGATGCTATTTTGATTACAGGAATGAAATGCAGACAACAGAAGCAGGGCATTATTGCCATGGCACTAATCCATGTAATGCAGTTATTGATCTAATCGTGTAGCAAATGAATGATTCCATATCCAGATGCTTATTATTGTGATAAAGCTCACAAAAATGAAGATGATGTACAAGCCAAACAGCAGCCGATCGATCACCGTCCCGATCATTTCCCACTCCTGTGTGGCTTTGGTCCCTTCACAGTATTTGTCCATCTGAACTCGGATGGCTGTGAGCTCTTTGCCTAACATCCTCAGTTGTTTCAGAACTGGGTCCGGAGAGTCCAGAGAAGCTGAAAGTGTAACATCTGAGATGCTCTGATGGTCTGAGAGGTCTGTGGTGCTGGTGTTCGCTGATGGTGCTGTGAAACACAAACAAAACACTCTGAGACCACAAATAGTGGTTACTTTTTCTTAAGTCGCAGATGGTGATTAAAATTGACTTGACTATATTACTACCGGCTTAAATAAGGATAAGCATAACGTACTTTTCAGCTGAGAGATACGTGGCATGACTGTGGAGAGTTGTGACCTAAAGTTTACACGTCCAGATTCATCAGGATCAAATTGTTTACAAGTTTTAAAAAAGCTGGTACCTCAAACTGACTGCGAGAAAATGATTCATGCGTTCACATCGAACGGGTCAGACTGTTGTAACGCTCTGTTTGCAGGATTATCACCATCATCAGAGTTCTTACATATAGGCAAATATAACCATTACCCAAGCGTTTATGTCACTTCACTGGCTCCCAGCACACACACACAGATTTGCCTTAAAAATCCTTCTATTAGTTCTTGAAGCTCTCAGTGGTTTGGCTCACTGGTACAAGTTAATATAATTCAGTGAAGGAGAAACTTTCAACTCATTTATTCTTCTTGCATCCCTCCATCCATGGTTTTCAACTTATCCGGGGCCGGGTCACGGTGGCAGCAGCCTAAGCAGAGAAGCCCAGACCTCCTCCTGCCCGGCCCCCTCCTCCAGCTTGTCCAGAGAAACAGCAAAGCGTTCCCAGGCCAGCTGACAGATATAATCTCTCCAGCGTGTCCTGGATCTGCCCTAGGGCCTCCTCCCAGTGGGACATGCCCGGAACACCTCGCCCAGAAGGCATCCTTGTCAGATGCCCAAACCACCTCAACTGGCTCCTTTCAAAGTAGAAGAGAAGTGGTTCTACAGGGTGGGCCATTTATATGGATACACCGTAATAAAATGGGAATGGTTGGTGATATTAAAGTCCTGTTTGTGGCACATTAGTATATGTGAGGGGGCAAACTCCTC